TTGGGCACACGCTGAAGAGTGGCTGAGCGAGTTCCTGGACACAGCCTAGAAAAAGCTTGGCCTTGGGCATCTGACAGATCAGGTTTCCCACCACTTCCTAGTAATGTGGCTTGGGCAAGTCACTTCACCTTTCCTCACCCCACCCCCAGCCTCAGCTTTCATCCTGTGAAAAGGCAGTAATAGCAGCCCTTGCCTAGAGTGCATATATCTTCAGCATGGCTGCCCTGGCCTATAAACTGGCATATTCCGTTAACCCTCTCATCCCATCCCCTGGTGCGAGCCATGCAGCCCCCCACCCAGAGCAGGAAGTAGGGTGCATCCCAGGAAGGCCTGCTCAGAATCCGTCTTGTCTTACTTTGGGAAGCGACTGCCCACGGGTGTTGGTGTCAGAGCCACAAGATTTTCATAAGGTGAGGACCACATTTAGCTCCAGCACTGATCCCGCTGTGACCTGCCCAGTCATGCCTGCTCCCTGAGCCTCCCTCTCTGCCCAGTGGAGGCAAGGGTAGGCCGGAGCTCCTCTCCACCATCTGTTAGGCATACCTCCTTTCCTTTGGGGCAGAAAACCTCACCTCCTTTGAGGCTGTCTACCCCCACCCAAACACTGGTCCTGCAAGGGCTGTCATGGCTTCTGTCACCCTAATCCCTCGGCCATAGGTGATTGCCCCACAGTGGACAACTGACCGGAACCAGAAGACTTCCTTATTTTGATTCAGAACTGAGAAAATGTCTGTGGGTTGGGAGCCTCAGGAGATGTCACTGGCCACCTGTCCTTCCTCATAGCAGAGTTAGCCTAGAGAAAGGCAAGAAAAAGAGAGACAGGGAGACAGAGACAGTGTGTCCTGGCGGTTTTGGGGTCCCTGGTTCCAACTGTGCCTGGGCCCACCAGCCCTCATCACAATTTGGAGGTTCACCCCTCCCTTAGATGCTGGGTGGCACTGGGTTTCTGGAGATATGCTTTCGCTCAGGGACATGACTAGGATCAAATAAGCTACAGTGTGAGGCACTCAGGCCAAGGCCTGGCCCACTGCAGGCTCAGTAGGCATGAATTCCTTTCCCTTAATGGGCACCAGGCAGGGATGGGGGGTTGGCAAGACACCAGGAAGATGTGAGGCATCAGTACTTATGACGTGATGTAACTTAGCAGCCCTTGGGAGATTAAAGTCAGGTGACTTGGGACCCCGCAGAGCCGCACAGGAGACCAGAATGAATGCCCAAGCGAAATATTTGGTGGCTAAGAAAAGATGGAGCTGAGAAAAAAAAAAAATTACTGCCCCATCTCTTTGTGGGAGGAGAAGTTGTCAACGGGCATCCCCTCTGCTCCAGGGATGTATGCAAAGGTCCCTGGAGATCTAGAAGATGAGTGCCAGGAAAGGCTTTCCAGAGGAGGAACATTTGAGCTGGGTTTTGAAGGATGAATAAGAGTTGGCCAGACAGGGAAGGGGCTTGGGGATAGCCCTTTCTTAACCACTACCATTAGTGCAGAGCTGATGAGTGCAAGGATTTAGGTAGCCTGGGTTTGAATCTTGTCCCAATTATTAACTATACGACCTTCAGCAACTTACTTGTTACTGTCTCTTTGCTTCTGGAAATGGTTTTTCTTGTTTTTCCTTTCAGGGTTAAATGAGATAATGTATGCAAACCATTTAGGACAATGTGCTGGCAGAAGCCTGTGGTTAAGCACTCAATACATGTTTGGCTCATTATGAAAAGCCTTTACATGATCAAGTCCAGTCCCTTAAAATGATCATAGCGGTTCCCACTTATTAAGCCCTTAATGAGCTCCAAGCACGGAGTTAAATGTTTAGCGTGCTTTGTCCCATTTAATCCTCCCACCGACCCCAGGAGGTAGGTGAGTACTATTATCCCCTACTAAAGATGGAAACACCTGCCCGGTCTTGCACATCGCCAAACGGAGCGGGGCTCAAGCCCAGCTTTGCCTGATGACCCGTGCCGTCGCCTAGGGAAAGGCGCGGCGCGGCGCCGGCCAAGGGCAGTCGTGGGGTGGGTTGGGGCCTGGGTCGGCCTCCTCCTTTCCGCCAACACATCCTCGCCAGCACCAGGAGCCAGGTAGGGGTCACGGGCACCGCTAAGGCGCCCCCGCCGCCCTGCCCCCTCTCCCG